TGGGTCATGCATGGCTTTCCCTGGGCCCCCTCCTTGGGCTGCTGCCATACTGTCATCTGAATCATCATTGTCAGCAGATTTGGTGAGTCAATTAGGATTTCTCTCTTTTTTTTTTTTTTTGAGTTCTTGAGTTTAAAGAGTTACTTCCCAATTTTTTTTTAATTTTTTTTATTTTTATTTTGCAATACAATTCAGTTCTACATATCAGCCATGGATTCCCTTGTTCTCCCCCCCTCCCGCCCCCCTCACCTTCCCCCTAGCCCACCCCCCCATTCCCACCTCCTCCAGGGCAAAGCCTCCTCCGCAGACTGAGATCAACCTAGTAGACTCAGTCCAGGTAGGCCCAGTCCCCTCCTCCCAGGCCAAGCCAAGCGATCCTGCATAGGCCCCAGGTTTCAAACAGCCGACTTATGCAATGAGCACAGGACCCGGTCCCACTGCCTGGATGCCTCCCAAACAGATCAAGCCAATCAACTGTCTCACCCATTCAGAGAGCCTGATCCAGTTGGTGACCCCTCATGACATCATGAGAAAAACAATTAGGATTTCTTAAAGGAGGGAATTAGTTTAAAAAATGTTAGAGGGATTTTTTTCCCACATTGAAAAATGGGAAACATTTTTTACAATGGAAGGGGTTTGGTCTCTGTTTGATAATATGCTAGATGGTTTGAAAATGGAACAATTAAATGAGAAGATAAGTAACTTAGATGAGATTGACATAATGTCAATTATAAACATTATCAGTTTGATCATTCTTGTTTTATCCCTAAAAGAGGTGTTTTATATGAGTACCAAGTTGTTTGATATGAATGCCAAGATGCAAGTCTTAGAAAAACTTATTAAAATAGATCATAGAGATATTCAGATTCAGACAGAGGAATTTAAAAGAAGAACCAGTTTCAGCATTGCTTTATAAGGTTACAGAGAAATAGACTAAGGCTTTCAAACAGCCAACCTTAATTTATCCAGTAACCTTATAGGAACTGCCAAATGACAGATATACCCAAGACTGTGTAAGAGCTAAATGGATTCCTGTGCAAATGTTAGATATAAGGAAATTCAAAGAAGCAGTAGTCTCATATGGCATGCATTCACCTTTTGTGAAGCAGGTGCTATACTCATGGTCAGCTTGTAATAGAATTATCCCTCAAGACTGGAGAGATTTGGTTACAGCCATCTTGGAGGCTGGTCCCCAGTTACAATGGAGAACCTGCTGGAAAGATGAGGCTAAGACTATTGAACTAGGAAGTAGGGCTAGAGGTATTGAAATTTGCCAAGATCAACTTCTTGAAGAGGGCAATTATGTTAATATACAAAGACAATCTTTATATGATGACCACACCTTAATTTTATGCTAAACAGCAGACTTGAATGCTCGTGACAGAATAGAAAAAGTAAGAAAGAAAATTGAGTCATTTACTGAAGTTATACAGGGCCCAAAAGAAACCTTCACTGATGTCTTACAAAGACTGACTTCAGCAGTAAATAGAATGATACCCAATTCAGAAGCTAGACAAATAATAATTGAAACTCTGGCATTTGAAAATGCTAATTCACAATGCAAAAGGGTAATTAGGTCATTCAAGGCAAGGTCACCAACTTTGGAGGAATGGATCTGAGATATAATCAATATTGAATCTCATGACCATGATGATGCTTATATAGGAGAGGTGATTTCCAGAGATTTAAACAAAAATTGAAATGTCAAATATTTTAATTGTAGTAAACAAGGTCGCCTAAGAAGGGACAGTAAACAGGGCATTCCTAGAAACAATGTTTTTCAAGGAATAATTCCAACAGAATGCCCCTCTCTTCTTGATTTGGATTATGCAGAAGGTGTGGCAAAGGCGGACATGGGACTAATGAATGTAGATCAACAAGGGGCAAGCAAAGTAATCCCTTGTCTTTGCTGTCAGGAAATGTCTTGAGAAGCCTCTCAAAGGCTCCCATGTCCAATTCCATTCAGTTCTTTCCTGTCATCATGGAAAAAACTCCTTCCTAGAGCAATTAAAGAACCTAATGCCTATTGTGAAAAACCATACTGCTCTGGATGATAGTACAAAAAACAAACAAAAAAAATCAGAAGAAACCATAAATCAAAATTAATAAAGATTAGATTTGGAAACTCCCCAAAGTTAGGGTTGGGGAAGGGTTTTGTTTTTGTCTTTTCAGGAAAATAAAAACAACCATCTTGAAGAATATAAAGACCTTTGGGCAAATAAAAACCCAAAGAAGGGAGAACTACCCAGAAAAAAAAATTGCCAAGAAAAGGAATAATATGGCCTGATATGATCTTTGAAGTCTCCAAAAAGATGATGGGATCCCACAAGATGATTCTACATGGACTATGATAATGCCACTAAGCTGAAAAACACCACCCAAAGATTGGCTTTGGACTACACACTGCTCAGGACAATTTTGAGATGGCTAGCTGAGAAGACCCAGCCTCACTGACTACTCTAGCCAGGACTTGAGACTACTCTAGTCCTGCACTTTGATATTATGCAGAGACTTGATAATAAATGATAAAGCTACTCTCCCAAGACTTGACAATTAGCCCAAATTTTTCTTTTCAGGAGCCTCTAAAGATGCCTTTGCCCCCAGACAGCAGGAAGTAAATTTAAGAACAGGGCACCCATATTACCAAGAGGTAGAGTGGATGGTTTTTTTGGTCATTTAATAGGTTATGGATAATTGTCATTGTTTAGAATGGTTTATTACAGGTTGTTATTGTTAGTGGTCAGGAAAAAGACTAAACAAAGAAGATCAGATTCAGGGTTCTTGTTTTGAAAATAAGGAGGGGTACAAATATGATAGAACAAAAAGTAGACTATTGAATCTACTCTGAAAAGAAAAAAGGAAGAATATGAAAATGATAAGATAAAAAGATAGATTATTAAATCTACTTTTTAAAAGCAACTACTAGTTTTAAATATTTTATACTGGATTGAATTTTTGTATATTGTATACAAATTTTGTATATTGCTACAAATTTGAGATTAATTTTGTTAGAATACATTGTATATATATTTCTAGTCTTGTTCAAGGTATTGTACCTATACAGCTCATTTAACAATGTAATGAAATTTCTAGTCCTTAAAAGTTATTATTGCCAACTAATTAGGATATAAAGAAATGCAAGTTAGTAGTTGATCTTTAATCAAACCTGTAGTCATATTAGGTATGTTTTTAAGGGCAAACAGATATATTTTAGATAGACAGGTCACCTTCAAACACTTCAGAGATCTACAGAATATGACATTTAAGATGTTTTAATAACATATTCATATATATATATAAAAAATTATATATATATATATATAAAACAATGAGACATATCTGCTTCTGGCAGCACCAGTCTACCTCAGAGAAGATAATGGAATTGGAGAAACTCCTTATGGAGTTTACTTTCCTTGTGGCAAAAGTTAGTCACTGGGCAAGAAAGTGCCCTTGTCTCAACTGCTTACAGTATTCTGTCCAAATGGACAAGCAGGACACAAAAGAAAAGACTGCTGAGCCTTGCTAAGACAAGGTAGGACAGCCCTTCAGAATACCCTGCTTCACAAAAAAGTCTGTCTAGTCCTATAGACCAAAGATGAATGCCCCAACACTGCAGAGGAATCTTGGGTGACTCTCCAGGTAGCCAGCTGTTTCTGTCATTTCTCACATTTTTTTGGAATTCGCTTCCCTGCATTTCCTGTTTACTTAGGTAATATTATTACCTTCTTGTGTCACTGAAGGAGTCAACAAATTCAGAAAAGAAACTCACTAAAGAGGTATAAAGTGTGTAAGTTTGAAAAACATCAAAAGATAGTTTTTGATTGGTAATACAAGTTAGGATAGAAAGTTAGTTACATACAATACTTTGGACTCACCAAAATATGATAAATAATGGAGTATTTTCTCTGAATTTGTTAATTGTTAATGGACTAGATATTATTGATGTATTTATTGCCTTTATATATTGTATATAGTTGTTGTACTTGTTGTATATAGCTTTTCCTATATTAGTTATAACCTTCTTTTATTATTTTAGACAAAAGTGGGAAATGTGGTGATGTATTTGTAATTTAAGAAACAAAACTTGTCTGAAGATCAGAGGAGAGAGCTAGCCACAGAGTTAGCCACAGAGGTCAGACAGTGGTGGTACACACCTTTAATTCTAGCACTCAGGAGACAGAGGCAGAGATCTGTCTGGATTTCTGTGAGTTCAAGGCCACATTGGTATACATGAGATTAATCCAGTCTAAAAGAGAAACAGAGCCAGGCAGTGGTGGCACACACCTTTAATTAAAGCACTAGGAAAGTTAAGACAAGAAGTGATATGGCTGGGCAGAGAAAGGAATATGAGATGGAAGGAGACAGGAACTCTATATTTTAAGGATCTCTTTTCAGGCTGAGGAGTTGATGAGGTAAATGACAGGGGCTGTGGCTTGCTCTGTTTCTTTGATCTTTTGGCTTTCGCCTTATATCTGGCTCTGGGTTTTTATTAAGACCATTTAGGATTCGTGCAACAGCACAAGAAACAGAGACCCACTCAATCAAACACTTGGGCACCCCATAAAAACATTAAATTGGAAGCCATAATATATACATAAAGAACCTGGTACAGACCCATGCAGGCCCTATGCATGCTTCCTCAATCTCTGTAAGTTCATATGAACTTTGATTACATTGATTTAGAGGACCTTGTTTTCTTGGTGTCCCCTATCCCATCTGGCTCTTTCACTCTTTCTTCCTCCTGTTCCTCAGGGTTCCTGAGACCTAAGGGGAGGGATTTGATGGAAACATTATGTTTAGGGCTGAGTGTTTTAAGATCTCTCACTCTATGTTTTGCCTAGCTGTGGGTCTCTGTATTTGTTCCCATCTGCTGCAGGAGGAAGCTTCTCTGATGATGGCTGAACAAGGAAGGCACTTATCTAGAGTATAGCAGAATATCAGTGAGAGTCATTTTATTGCAACATTTTTTTCAGAACAGTAGTTTTGGTTTTACCTTAGGTCCTTGGGCTATCTAGTATCAGGTTCATAGTTATCCAAGCTTTCTCATGTATGCTTCATATAAAGGAAAACAGCATCGGGTACCTAAAACACAATTTAGATAATTTAAAAAGAGACTATGTAACCATAGGCCCATAGAAAGATGACTTCTAATTAGTATCAACTAACTGTTCTTTCAGCTATTTCTCTGCAACCATAGTTGAGAATGCTGTCATTCTTTTTTTTTTTTTTTAACTATATCATGGAGGCAAGCATCCACTAAAGGTAAAAGAAATAGCTCAATTTCTCATCATAAAATTCAAAGTGAAAGCATTACCTGCTAGGTTAAGATCCATAGACTCAGGACTGGTAAAATGGCTCGGTAGTTAAGAGTGAATGATGCTCTTCCAGAGGACTTGGGTTCAGTATCCAGTGCACACATTTGATGGATCACAACTTCCTGTAACTTCAGGTCTAGGGAAACTCCAACTTCAGAGTATCTGACACCTTTTTCTGACTTCTGAAAGTACACATAGACATACCCTCCGGCAATAAATAAAGGATACAATAAGTATTTTTAAACAGTTAAAGTAATTGTAATAATAATAAGGATCCAAGGACTTACATAACCTTGAAATGAGGTCATCTGTTCAGCTAAGGGATTCAGAGTTTACTGATGGACCTATTCTGAGCACCTAGCTCTGTTGTCATCCTGTTTTTATTTCATTCTGCTTTAAATGGCTTATCTGAAAAGACGTTTGACTCAAATATGCAGTGAACTCTGAGAGGACAAAGCAATGAGGAAAGGCTCAGGGTCCCCACTGTAGTTAGTTTAGATGAGAGCAGATCTTCCTGACTCAGGAGGAAATAATAACATGAAAGAGCACGTGCACATCTGTAGAGATCTTTATGAAAATGAAGGTTACCTCTTCAGGAGAAGCCCAGATGATTAGCCCCCATGAAAGAAAACAGAAAAAAGAATATTCATGTTTTGTTCTTCTTGGAACACTAATCTTTCTTCTGCGAGGATATGCATAGACAGACTTCTGTGTGTATCAACAAAAAGAAAATTTTGAATGAAAGCTTTAGAGAGACCACAATTTGTTGAAAATTCCTGAACCTATCATCTGCAATGATGAGTCTCTTCTGCAAATGATGCCTGGGAATGTTTGTGCTTCTGATAGGTGTTTCAACTTGGATTTAATAAGAAGAATTATTCTTTAACAATATGGCTGAGGGAACTGAGGTTCAGTGGTACTGTTCCCTAGTGCTGCAGTCTGAAAAATATGCACGTATAACCATGAGCCCCAGTAGTCACTCACTTCTTAATCACTCACAACATAGACGATTGTTAAATATTGTTGTTAAATTTCTTGGTTTTTCTCCATCTTCATATGTTCTGCAAAAGATGTGATGTGAGAGACACACTGGTTGATCCTGTGTTTATGGGAAAATTTGAGAGTATGTTTGTTTTTGTCATGATGGACATTTTTTGAGATGTCCCATTTTGCAGAAAAAGTTACTAATACGTAAAGTTTGGAGTTGAAAGCAAATTTCTAATTAACTAAAAACAGAATCCAAAATACATAGCCAGCAAAATCCATTTGCTGCCCTTCTGAAAGCAGCAGTTCAAAGAGGAGCCTAGATCAATTTATCAGAGACAAAACAAATAAATTATGCTACAAATAGATGGCCAATACAGTCTATAAAGGATTAGTAGAAGCAAACATGTCAAATGTTCAAAGATCATCACAATGTGTTCTGAATGTAAAGGGAAGAGATAAGAAATCTTGGAACACTTTGCTTCTTACCAAAAATGTTAAATTTAATCCTTAGGAAGAAACTACATTATACTACACTTCATGTAATGTGTGAGAGAAAAGCACAGACATTATGAACAAATCGTGTAAATCTTTATATAGATTCTAGGAATCACGTATGTGTTATGGTAGTAATTGGTGGTACCTATTTTGTGACAACAAAATATTTATCTGTTTTGGAGACTGTGTCTCTGTTTGATTAATTTTCCATAAACCCATTTCCTTTCATTTTGTAGGACTAACTGTGTCTTCTTTTGATGAACCATCTTCCTTGGTCCTCTTGAGCTACAAACTTCAAGTGATGGCAATTTTACCCTTTGGTCCCAAGATACTCCAGACTTACACACTAAGTGTGGCATGCCCTGGTCATCAAACCGTTACTCTCAGTATCAGGAGAGGAGTAACCATTCTTTAAGGGTCATGTCCAACAGGAGCCTCTGAGAGTCAGGTTGAACACTACATGGCATGAACCTGCTGAGCAAATGTGGTGAGTGAGAGCAGAGTTGATTCTAAAAACACCTTTTGACCTGGAGCCAGGCGTACTATTGGGTTTTTCAACAGTAAATAATTTCCATTTACTTGACTATTAATTCAAACAGACTGAGTTGAGTTTTTGCAATTTGAATCTGCAAGAGTCATGGTTACAAATGGTATGAGGCATACATAGTTTGACAGTATCGTAGTGAGATAAATAATGCACTCAAAAGTATTTTATGGAGCAGGAGAGGTGGCTCAGCAGTTAAGAATGCATGCTGCTCCTGTAAAGGACCAAAATTTATTTCCCAGAACCTGTGTCAGGTGGCTCACAATCACCTGTACTCCAGCTCCAGGGTTTCTGACAACCTCTTCTGGCTTTCACAGACACTCACATACATTCACACACATGTATACACATAAACACATACATATCCACTTAAATAAAAATAAATATTTAAAAATGTATTTTGCTTAAGCAAAACTATAATTAGGCACAAATAAATTGTGGATTAAATAAAAATGATCACATAATCACATCTAATATGGGAAACAAGATTCAATCTAATATGTGAGACATATTATAAAAGTAAAAAGTACTGACAAAATAATTAAAGACTTTAATAAATGATACATATTCTATTTTCTTAAATTATAATTCTAAATGTTATTCAGATGTCAGCTTCTTCACAACTGATGGGTAGATTTAGTACAATACCAATGAAATTCTAAGCTTTCCTTTTAAACAAAAATTAAAATAATATTGAAATACTGGGAGCTAGAATAGCTGTACTGATTATTTAAAAGATGGAAGAATTTGGAGAATTTATTAAATCTGTTTTTAAGACTTTATAAAGCTAAAATAATTAAGAAAGACTGAGAATGGCATAAAAGTAGACATGTCACTCAACAGAAGAGAAGGAAGTCAAGATATGGACCCTCTTATAACCAATCAATTGGCTTTGGACAAAGGTGCAGTGGTAATTTGATGACTAAAGGTTAATGTTGCCAACAATGTATTGAAAGATTTAGCCAAATGGAGAAAATGAGCCAAGATGTTTACCTCAAACTATACCAAAAGGTAATTGTAGTAGAATATGGTCAAAATCTATAAGCTAAAGATAGCTCAATCGAAAATATTTTGATTCTGGCAGGCATGGTATCATATGCCTTTAGCATTTAGGAGGAAAACCTGACATCTCTACAAGTTCAAGGTCAGCCTGGTCTGCATAGTAAGACCCTGTCTATAAAAGAAAAAAAGGTTTTGATAATGATGGAATATTTTTACATGTATTCTATTATTGAGACAACATGAACTGTATTAAAGAAACAACACAGACTGATTTAGGCTAGTCAGAACTATATTTATATGAATTATCTTTGTATTTATTGCTCTTGAGTGCTTTTTTCTATTGTCAACATGAAAGTTTCAGATGCACCATTTCAGTAAAACTATAAAACTACAAAACTTATAGACAAACAATGAGAACAAGACAGTAAAGTGTCTTTTACATTTCAAGAGTGGAAGAATTTCTTATATATAAAATAAATCAGAAATCATAAAAGGAAAAATAATAAAAAATTGAATTGGCCAAAATGTAAAATGTCTGCTCCTGAAGGACACCACTAACTAATAAAAAGACAAAACGCTTTCTGAGAGAAAAACAAATGTTCAATTATCATTACCCAGTACACATTGAAAATTCTTCCCATGCAGTTCTGAAAGTAGGTACTTCACTTTCCAGAGGAGTCAATTCTTATTACTCAACATTGTAGCAATAATTTGCAGTATTCCAAATATTTTGCATAACAACCCTACATTTTCCTCACCAGTAAGATTGATCTTTCCATATGCTTTCTTATAAGTTTAGTAATAATGTTCAACTTGAAGAACTCACATTAGCACTTCTGAATAGAAAGACATATGTAGTGATGACAGTGGTCTCAGTTTGTGCCAAGAGAAGTAGTAGATGTTATTGTTGTTATTATTATTATTATTATTATTATTATTATTATTATTTACTATTTATTTACTATTATTATTTACTATTTATTATTATGTATTTACTATTATTACCCTTATGCTTTTAAGTGAATTTTGCAGTATATAATATTCTCCTTGCAAAATTTAGTTTTTTGTTGATGGTTGTGGTAGTGTTTTGATGTTTTTGTTTGTTTTTTTTTATTGTTTTTGTTTTTACTTTTCTTTCCAAACTTTGAATATATTATCTTATTCTCTCTGGCTTGCAAGATTTTTTCTGAGAATTCATTCATAGTGCTATGCTGTGGGATAATGCTCTTGTACATGGTAAAAATTTGTCACTGGAATTGGTTTAACAAAAGACTGATTGGCCAATAGCTAGGCAGGAAGTATAGGTGGGGCGACCGGACTAGGAGAATTCTGAGAAGAGGAAGGGCAGAATCAGTAGTCACAGCCAAGTCAGAGAAAGTAAGATAAGAGTGCCACACTGAGAAAAGGTACCAAGCCATGTGGCTAAAATAGGTAAGACTTACGGGTTAATTTAAGTGTAAGAGCTAGTTGTAATAAGCCTGATTCACCAGTCGAGCATTTATAAGTAATATTAAGCCTCAAAGTCAATTATTTAGGAAACAGCCGGGTATTTAGGAACAGGCAGGCAGGAGAGAAACTTCTGCCTACAGTCTTAGAACTCTTCTCTTGTGTATATGATGCTATTATGTTTCTTTTTGCTCCTTCTGCTGCAATAATTTTAATATATTTCCATGTAGATCTCTTTACACTCAATCCTAAGGGCTTCTTTTGAGCTTTATGACTCTCTAGATATGCACTTTGCTCCCAGATGTGTTTATTTACATTTATTTTTAAAAGTAACTTTCTCTTATTGGACTATGACCTCCTTTCTTCCTCTTTCTATCATTCTACTACAGCAAATGAGCTCATTGGATCGTATCTCTGAAGTAATGAGACTTCATTCCATTTTTTAAATACTTTTGATCTTGTTGTTGTCCTCTGTCTATGCAATGATGTGTGTTCTAGTTCCTAGCCTTGAGGTTGCTGTTGATGCTCTTTGTTACTTTATTTACAGTTTCTTTTTGTTGGGTTCTAGTGGACTGTATCTCCTTATTTAACTCAAAGTGCTGCTGATGCATTATCGTTGTTACTTTGTGTTTACTTGTGCTTTGCTGAGATTCTCTACCATCAGCTTGAATTCTGTATCTGGGATTTCCTGGATCTGTGAAGCTAGTT